TCACGACGTGAACTGCTGGAGGTAGATGTTTGCAATTTGCTTGGTTTATGGACACAGTGGTTTCCAGACTCATCATCCCTGAGGTGGCTCTTAGCCACACTGAAGGACATCAGCTGGGCTTTGCCTCCTCTAAATGAGTCCTGCCTCCTCCTCTCTGTGTCCTGAGTGGGGCTGGTGGCCTCCCTGCCATCCTCTGATCCACAAAGCTTATTTTATTGGGTACTCCTTGGGGTTGGTACCCTGGCACCTGGAGATCCCCCACTCAGGATGTTTGGAGGTAGATAACGTGCTCCACTACATCCAAACCTGGTTGTGTCTGTGTAACACTCACACTGTCTTAAGCAATTAGTTAATGAACCAGCAAAAAAGCAGTTGCCAAGCCAAGCCCAAGCCAGATGTGTTCCTCTTGGAGATGCAGTAGGACAGCTTTTGAAGAGAAGTGGGTCTTGGGCAGAGCTCAGCATGGATCTCTGGGATCCAGCTCTCCAGAGCTGCTCTGGGATTTTGGATCCCAAATGGAAGGGGTGTGAGGAGAGTGAAAGGGCTGAGCCCTGCCTGGGCCAGGGAGAAGCCTGTGGTCAGGACCACCTGTCTCCTGTAGGACTGTAGGCAATTCCTACAGCCTGTTGCCCATGCTTGTGGCAACTCCATCTTCTCTTCCCATGTCATGTGCAGCCTGGGAGGTCCTGGCTTGTGGCAACAGAAGAGTATTCCTGAGCAGCAGGCAGTTGGAGTCCTTGCTTGCTCCCGGCGGGCAAAGTGTCCTGGGAGAGATTCCCTCCTTCTTCCCACAAAATCAACACATTTAAAAAGAGAGTCACTGTCACATGGGTTTTAGTTTCATGCTGAGAAGCAGATGCTGTGTCCACCAACTGATGGTGTGGGAAGGAATTTGGCTGCAGTGTTTTGGAGAGTGCAGAAATAGATCAGGCTGAAGGTGCATTCGTGGCCTTCCAAGTTGCCCATCAACACACACAAGCACCTGAGTGTTGGGTGGGGTCATTTCTGGAGCCCATCAGAGGGTTTGACATCGTGTCACTAAGAGAGCAGCAAAGACCACTCGGAGTTGGACCAGTTCAGCTGCACATCAGCTGCCCTCCATCCCATCCCCAGCATCCATGTGGGCATGGGGACCAGACCAGCCTGGATCCCCACTGAGCCAAACCTGAAGAGCCCAAATTTCTTGCTGTTTTGCTCCCTCTTGGTTCAAGGCAGAGAAGGAACCAGCTCAAAAAGTCATGGCCACACATGGAGCAGAGAGTGACTTGCCCTGGGAGAGGGTCACCTCCCCTCTTGGGTGGTGGGGCACCCCATGTGTGCCATCCTGCTGCAGGAAAGCTCTGGGTTCTCCTGGCACTGAAGCATCACCAACATTGGCTACACTGACAGCACCCACAGCTGGGTTCAGCATCTTCCCTGGGGATGGAAACTGGGTGGAAGAGGACAAACGTTAGGGAAGGATGATGCCTTCAAAAGGGACCCAATGTGGCCTATGGCCCACTGCCTCTACCCAGAGGAAGAAGCTCTGCTCAACTCCCAGATCCTTCCAGACCTTCCCAGACCTGAGGAAACTATGGCAGGAGCAATCCCACAGTGAAAACCCTTGTGGATTTTACCCCATGTCTCCAGTGCAGTCAATGAGAGTGATTTGTGGGCAGGATCATGGGTTTCCTTTCAGGTGTGTCACAGAATTTCTGAGGAGCTCAAGATCTCCTGGTCTCTGTCCTTCTCTCCAGGCTGTGCTGATAGCCCTTGGTTTTGTCTGGAAGGTACAAATATGTACATCATCCTTCACAAGAGCAGTGCAGAGAGGAGAAGGAGGAGTTAATCATGGGTTACTGTGATTACTGTGACTAATCCTTGAAGCTGGAGCCCCAACAGCAAGGCAAATACTGCTTGGTGTGGCTTCCACACGTGGCAGGTTTCCCCTGCAGCACTGAGGGAGATGTGCCCTGGTGCTCTGGATGTGAGAATAGAGAAGTTCACCTCATCCAGGGTTGGAGAGGAAAGGGTGAGGCTGAGCCTGGTTGTTCTGCCCATGCAGGACTTGTGGCAGCTGGGCAGCACCTGGGCTGCAGGTTCCTGTGTGAGGAATGTGTTCTTCAGAAAGGCTGAGGTCTTCCAGGTGAGCACCAGAAATAATCCAGGTGTTCACGACGTGAACTGCTGGAGGTAGATGTTTGCAATTTGCTTGGTTTATGGACACAGTGGTTTCCAGACTCATCATCCCTGAGGTGGCTCTTAGCCACACTGAAGGACATCAGCTGGGCTTTGCCTCCTCTAAATGAGTCCTGCCTCCTCCTCTCTGTGTCCTGAGTGGGGCTGGTGGCCTCCCTGCCATCCTCTGATCCACAAAGCTCATTTTATTGGGTACTCCTTGGGGTTGGTACCCTGGCACCTGGAGATCCCCCACTCAGGATGTTTGGAGGTAGATAACGTGCTCCACTACATCCAAACCTGGTTGTGTCTGTGTAACACTCACACTGTCTTAAGCAATTAGTTAATGAACCAGCAAAAAAGCAGTTGCCAAGCCAAGCCCAAGCCAGATGTGTTCCTCTTGGAGATGCAGTAGGACAGCTTTTGAAGAGAAGTGGGTCTTGGGCAGAGCTCAGCATGGATCTCTGGGATCCAGCTCTCCAGAGCTGCTCTGGGATTTTGGATCCCAAATGGAAGGGGTGTGAGGAGAGTGAAAGGGCTGAGCCCTGCCTGGGCCAGGGAGAAGCCTGTGGTCAGGACCACCTGTCTCCTGTAGGACTGTAGGCAATTCCTACAGCCTGTTGCCCATGCTTGTGGCAACTCCATCTTCTCTTCCCATGTCATGTGCAGCCTGGGAGGTCCTGGCTTGTGGCAACAGAAGAGTATTCCTGAGCAGCAGGGATTTGACCTCCTGCCTTGCTCCAGGAGGGAAGGGCTTGGCCATTGCTGTTGGCACAGGCCAGGCTTGGGTCAGCCCTACAGCAGAAATACCCCCTGGCTGCAGCATCCCTCAGGTGTCCTAGTGCTCTAGGATGCCATGGTGGCCAGGACAGAACAGGCATCCCATCCCATTCTTGGGGTGCTTGGGGCATCTCAAAATGAGTGTGTCTCAGCACAGGCTGCACTTGGGCACAGCTTTGTTGGTGTGGGCACAAGCAATGTCAGGGTTGGTCCCTCTTCCCCCAAAGCAGTTGGAGACATGGGGCTGGTTGCTTTTGCCATGAGCAAGCCAGGGAAGGCAGGTTTGGAGAAAGGCAGCCTGGCCAGCTCTGTATAAATAACGTGGGCTAAGCCTCTTGGAGGGATGGATGGGCTTGAGTCCTACTAGGCCACCGTGTCACCAGCTTCTGGCCCTGCTTGCAGACAATGCAGTGGGTCACTTTCATGCCACGTGTCACCCCGAGAACAAGCCTGGCAGCAAGTGGTGGGTGGGGGGACGTGGTTGCTCTCAAGCATGTTGTCTGCATGGTGGCACTTTTAGGACCATGTTACTGAAGAGCACTGGAGTTCCTCAGTTTATGGGTGAGATGTGCTTCCTTGTCCACAGGCACTGGTGTTGTCTCTACATTGGAGGATAAACCCAGAGCTTATTGTCTATTCTTGGTAGAAATTGTAATTAAAATCCTTCCAGTCTGAAGGAAGTAGGTACAATGTGGTGGGTCCAGAAGAGCCAAGTGTTGAAGGTGCTGGATGAGATATGCATAAGCATCTTTTTCCCCTGAAACCTGGTTTGTCTCCAAGATGAAAAGCTTGACTGTGAGCATCACAGCCTGATGTTAGAGGCCAAAAGCTCTGCTGGCCAGACCATTTGGGGACACAGCTGGCAACAGCTGACCTGCTAATGTGAGGATGTGAGAGCATCACTTCCTGGGAGGCATCCAGGCTTGGCTGGACCTCAGGCAACACAGGAGCTGCCACTTCCCCTGGGATTCTCTTCCTGACCCTATAGCTGAATGTGGCATTGGCTCAAGGATGGCATTGCTCATCCTAGATAGCTCCTCTCTGCTGCCTTCCCTTCTGGTAGGATGTTGCCTTTCCATGCCAGCCTTGGCCACCCCCTCTTGCTCCACCCAAGTGCTAACAAACCACTTGTCCATAACCCAGGGGTTTAATCATGTCTGTGAGGACACCTGGAAGGTGCAGGTCATGGCTGTGTCTCTTCCAAACAGGAGACAATCATCTCAAGCTTTTACTTGGCTCATACCCTCAGGGCCCTGGAGCCTCCTTGGAGGATGCTCCATGGATCTGCCTCTTTCCTGACCCTGCCCAGGCTCTGAGCTGGCTCTGGAGAGCAGACCTGGAGGCTGCTTAGCTTTGCAGCCTGCTCTGACCCATGGTGAAGGCAGGAGAGGACATGGCACTGGGGAGGAGCTGTGCCTGGCTGCAGCCCAGCCCTGCAGCAGGACGGGAGCAGGGCTGGTCCTGGGGGACAAGGGGGGGCTCTAAAACCACATCCCCATCCAATTGCTGGGGCCACCCCAAGCTGCACCCCACGGGGGGCAGCCTGCAGGCTGACCCAGGGCAGGAGTGGAGTGTGTGTGTGCCCAGGGCTGTGGGCAGGGGGTGTCCCCAGCCCTGCAGAGGGGACGGGCTGGCACTGCCATCCCTGCCGGTTGCATAAGCCAAATGGGATTGTGGGGGATTACAAGGAGCAGGCTCAGGCAGCTTGATTCTTGTTTCTAAAAGGAGCTCTTAAGCTGTTGTTGTTTTCCTGGCACTTGGGATTAGGGCTGAGATGTCTAGGTTGGCCCCCAAGGACCCCCCCCCACAGACCCTCCATGGCTCCCCACCAGCCTGGGCTCCATCTGTTAGTGCCAAACGTGGGAGAAAAGTGGGGCTGGGAGGTGACCCCCCTCCCTGGGTACCCCAAAACACCCCCCATATCCCCAGGAGGGGCACTGGGGGAGCAGGACTGGGGGCCTGTGCATAGGTGGGGGGGTTCAGTGCCCTGGGGTGCTGCAGGGGGGGGTCTTGGGGTCCTCACCACCCTCCCCCTTCCCTGTGCTCCCTGTCTTGCAGAGATTATGCACGATGTGATCCGGAAGGTGAAGAAGAAGGGTGAGTGGAAGGTGAGCACCAAACCTGGGGGGCAGGGGCAGGAGAGGAGGAGGGTGGGGAGGAGGAAGCAGGGGGAGGGGGTCGCAAATCCCCCCCCAGGCGTGGGGAAGGGGTTGGGAAAGGGCAGTTCCCTGGCTGCCCCCCAGCTCACAGCCCCTCTCCCCAGGTGCTGGTGGTGGACCAGCTCAGCATGCGCATGCTCTCCTCCTGCTGCAAGATGACCGACATCATGACGGAGGGCATCACAAGTGAGTGACCCCAGCTGGCCCTTGCAGACCTCACAACCTCCCTTTTGTACCAGGGGGCTTTCAAAGGCAGCTCCAGGCTGGCATGGCTCCCACTCATCCCCATCCCATGAGGGATGGAGACCTGCTACCACCCACTGCTCGTGGAGAAGCGTCTCAGTGCCAGGCTTGATGCCTCACAGCCTCCCTCTGTGCCTGCTGGGGCTGGAGAAGCCCCAGCACCTTGTCTCCTGGCAGTATCTCAGTCCAAGGAGGAGACCAGGTGTTATTTCATGGCAGCCCTTATAAACAGTTCCCTGCAGCCCTCAGAAAGGAGGAGGAAAATCCAGGCTGTGCATCGGGAGGTGTTTGGGGTGGTGGGGGTTTGTCCCAGCCCGGGCACCAGCAGAGCATCACCCCTGGGATGTCCCCTGCAGTGGGGGGATGTGAGAATAAACTGAGGCACCAGCAGCAGGGGAACATGCAGGGAAATCCACCCTGGGACCTTGCCAGGCACCCCTGGGTGCAAGGGTTGGGACAGGCTGGGGACACCCCCTGCCTTAGCTCTGGGGTGGGACAGAGGCTGGTGGCTGGGGACGTTGTGGAGACAGAGGGCTTGGCAGGGCTGGTGCTGTGCTGCTGTGGTGGGTCCAACAACCCCACCTAGCCCAGTGCCCTGCCCTCCACCCCCACCTGTCCCTGTCACAGCCCCTGTTTTTGTGCCCCCAGTTGTGGAGGACATCAACAAGCGCCGGGAGCCCCTGCCCAGCCTGGAGGCCGTTTATCTCATCACCCCCTCCGAGAAGGTGAGTCCCTGGGGCACGGGGCACAGCCCTTGGCTTGGGGGGAGGTGCAGGGGGTTCCCACACTGGGATGGGCAGCCATGCCCGTGGGAAGCATCTGGGCTCCAGTGAGGCCAGCTGTGCTGCTTTGGGGCAGACCAGAGCTTGCCCCCCTTGCCAGGAGGGAGGACGTGGGGTGACCCTGCTGAGGTGCCCTCAGTGCCCAGCCCAGCTGGTCTCTTCTCTCTTGCAGTCCATCCACTCCCTCATCAATGACTTCAAGGATCCCCCCACCTCCAAGTACCGAGCTGCCCACGTCTTCTTCACTGACTGTGAGTACCCGGAGGGGAGGGAAAGTCCTTGTCACTGAGACGTGGGGCAGGATGGAGGGGTGCTGGGTGCTACCCTCCTCCTCCTCCTCCCTTGCAGCCTGCCCTGACGCCCTCTTCAATGAGCTGGTGAAATCCCGTGCTGCCAAGGTCATCAAAACCCTGACAGAGATCAACATTGCCTTCCTCCCCTCCGAGTCCCAGGTGAGGCTGAGCTGGGGACCATCCCCACCAGGGTGGCCCGTGGGATGGGGGTGCTGGGGGATGCTCAGGATCCTTCCCCAGCACATCAGGGTTTGTGTAACAGCCTCACAGCCCTGTTGGCTCCTCTCCCCCTGCTCAGCTCTTCCTCCCTGCCTCCTTCAATTACATCTCAGGGCTGATCTGCCATGGGGGATGGACCAAGGCTCAGGGCCTTGGCCCTGTGCTGGCAGCCACACTGGCCAGCCCTGTGCCCACCCAGCAGGGCACTGGGAACCAGCCCCAGGCCATCTTGCCCCTGCTGGAGATGTGGGGATGAGTGGAACAGGGTGGGACAGGTAGTGCCTGACCAGCTTGGCACCAGTAAACCTTCAAGCTGCAGCATTTCTGGGGAGGAAAACAGGTTGAAGATGAGCTCTTGGCATCTCCACGTGCAGGGAAAGTGGCTTCTGGTCTTCACCAGGGGCACAGCCTGGGAGCAGCGTGTTCCCACTTTTCCCCAGGTCTCTGGTTCCCTGCCTGGGAACATGTGGCTGCTGTGGGCAGAGGGTCTTCTGCCTCCTCTGCTCATGCCAGGGGGATACACAGGGGTAGGGACTGCGCTGCAGAGCTGGAGATGGGGAAGGCATCAGGGTCCAGAACTGGTACCAAAGCCCAAGGTGCCACCAACGCCCAAGGTGCCACCAAAGCCCAAGGTGCCACCAAAGCCCAAGGTGCCACCAAAGCCCAAGGTGCCACCAAAGCCCAAGGTGCCACCAAAGCCCAAGGTGCCACCAAAGCCCAAGGTGCCACCAAAGCCCAAGGTGCCACCAAAGCCCAAGGTGCCACCAAAGCCCAAGGTGCCACCAAAGCCCAAGATGCCACCAACGCCCAAGGTGCCACCAAAGCCCAAGGTGCCACCAACGCCCAAGGTGCCACCAATGCCCAAGGTGCCACCAACACCCAAGATGCCACCAACACCCAAGATGCCACCAAAGCTCCAGCTTCCCAGGCCCAGCTGGGGACCTTCATCTGGGCTTGGATCTGGTTTCCAAACCCACCCGTGGGGCCCCGCTGTGCATCCCCTCTAACCTCCCTCCCTCTGCACCTCCCAGGTTTACTCCCTGGATTCAGCCGACTCCTTCCAAAGCTTTTACAGCCCCCACAAGGCCCAGATGAAGAACCCGATCCTGGAGCGCCTGGCGGAGCAGATTGCCACGCTGTGTGCCACCCTGAAGGAGTACCCAGCCGTGCGGTACCGCGGGTAAGGGCAGCACTGGGACCACCCCCCAGGGGCCCACCCAGCACAGTGGAGCTGGGGCCATGCCAAGCACAGGGCACAGATGAGACTGGGCTGTGTCTGGTGAGGATGTGGGGATGGAGGAGATGTTGGGATGGACAGAGCTCCGTGGGGAGTGTGAAAAACAGACTTGAATTTGGTCTGGAGAGTGGGGGGTGGGAGCCTAAAATCCAAGTAGCACCTCATGTAGGTGAGCACCTCATGTAGCACCTCATGGCCAAGGCAAGGCAGAGCACCCCAAGGAGAAAGGGGCAGCAAAACCTGCTCAGGTCCCTCCTCTCCTGTGAGCCAAGGGATGTTGCAGAGGGAAGCCAGCAGCTCCTCCCCATCCCATGCTGACCTCTCTTCATGTCTCCTCCAGGGATTACAAGGACAATGCCATGTTGGCACAGCTCATCCAGGACAAGCTGGATGCCTACAAGGCTGACGACCCCACCATGGGTGAGGTGAGCAGGGCAGGTGCCTCCAGCCCCAGGGGGGGACACTTGGGGGCTGCTTCGCTCCTAAAGTCCCACTTGAACTCTGCCACGCTGCAGTGCAGAGCCTGAATTGAGACCCCAAAATATCCCTAACTCCTCCTGACCACCTGTGGGGCTGGAGGAGCCCCCAGCCCCACTGCTGACAGTTGCCCCTGTCCTGCAGGGTCCGGACAAGGCTCGTTCCCAGCTCCTGATCCTGGACAGGGGCTTCGACCCTGCCTCCCCAGTGCTGCACGAGCTGACCTTCCAGGCCATGAGCTACGACCTGCTGCCCATCGAGAATGATGTCTACAAGTGAGTCTTCCCATGAATCCAGCCCTTGAGCAGGAAGCTCAGCCATGAAGCTTCAGCATCCCTCCATCCACCCCTCCATCCCTCCCTCCATCCATCCCAAATAACCATTTGGGACGAACCGATGGCAGGTGTGATGGGCAGGATTGATGTGAAAGGGGCTTTTGTAGCTCTCAGCCTTTTATTCCTTCCCACCATTTAGCAGCTGATGGGGTATGAGAAGGAAAGATAGGAAACCAGCCTGAGATCACAGAACAGCAGAATGGTTTGGGCTGGAAGGGACCTTCAAGGTCATCCAGATCCAACCCTGCATGGGCAGGGACACCTCCCACCAGCCCAGGCTGCTCCAAGCCCCATCCAACCTGCCCTTCAACACTGCCAGGGATGGGGCAGCCACAGCTTCCCTGGGCACCCTGGGCCAGGCTCTCACCACCCTCACACTAAAGAATTTCTTCCAAATATCTCATCTGAATCTTCCCTCTTTCACCTTAAAACTGTTCCCCCCTTATCCCATCATGTAAAAAATCCCTCCCCAGCTTTTCTGATAAATAAGGGCCAAGAAGAGCTCCCGTGTCCCCTCATTTCCCCAGCAGTGAGGGGAGCACGTGCCCCCCAAAGCCCTGTCCCTGAGCACGGTGCTCCCTGCCCCCTTTCCCAGGTACGAGACGAGCGGCATCGGGGAAGCCCGGATTAAGGAGGTTCTCCTGGATGAGGACGACGACCTGTGGGTCACCTTGCGCCACAAACACATCGCCGAGGTGTCCCAGTGAGTGTCCCTGTGGGCAGCCTGCCAGCTTGGGGGGGGGATGCTGGCTTGGCACTGCCACCAAGCCTGCTTTTGGGGTCCCCTCCCCGCTGACAGCTCTGCCCTCCTCCTGTCCCCAGGGAGGTGACCCGGTCCCTGAAGGAGTTTTCTTCAAGCAAGAGGATGAACACGGGTGATAAGGTGACCTGGAGGATGGGCACCTTGTGGGGGCTCAGCCCAGGGCTGGCACGTGGTGGGAGTCTCCTGGGGAAACCCTCTGCAAAGGGCTGAGGGTGCTCAGGTCCCTGATGGGGAGAGGAGACTGTGGAGTGTTGGTCCTGTGCCCTGGGCTGGAGAAACAGGGGGCCTTGGGAGGGCACTGCCTGGGGGTGGGTTTGCCCCCAGGGTGGGGTCCCTGCCTGTGCCACAGCAGCCACCTCTGGCCAGTTTCCTTCCCAAGACCCCAAGTTGGTGGCAGTGAGGGCACCCCAGTGGAAATAGGATGTAGAAGTGGCCAGAAGCTGAAGGCACCATCTCAGCCAAGTGCACGGGGGGGGTTCTGGAGGAAGAGGACCACGGGGGGAGATTTCTGCCTCCTGCACTCCAGCTTGAAGAGCTGCAGACCCTCACCCAGCCCCAGCAATGCCACACCAGACCCCCATGAGGGGCTCATGTGGGGACAGAAGTCCCTTGGCAGGGTCATCTCCTCCGTGCTCCTGGTCCCTGAGCGTGAGTGACCACGTCCCCTTCCCTCGCAGACCACCATGAGGGACCTGTCCCAGATGCTGAAGAAGATGCCTCAGTACCAGAAGGAGCTCAGCAAGGTATGTGGGGAGGGGGGAGATGTCTGCAGGGCAGCTGGTGCTGAGCCCACCCAGGCAGGGGGCCAGGGCAGCCCCCCCTGGAGGTTCCCCAGCTGTGGGCACCTTCAGCTGCTGCCAGCACCACCGTGGTGACTGCACTGCTTGTGTCTCCCCAGTACTCCACCCACCTGCACCTGGCTGAGGACTGCATGAAGCACTACCAGGGCACGGTGGACAAGCTCTGCAGAGTTGAACAGGTACCAGCTCCCTCAGCCCCCCATCCTTCCCCCCCCAACACTCCCTTAAGGACCACCAGGGCTGGCAACTCCCTCCCAACAGCTCAGCACTGAGCCGTGGGGTGATGAGCACCTGTGTTCTCTGCAGGACTTGGCCATGGGCACTGATGCTGAAGGTGAGAAGATCAAGGACCCCATGAGGGCCATCGTCCCCATCCTGCTGGATGGGAACGTCAGTACCTATGACAAGATCCGCATCATCTTGCTCTACATCTTCCTGAAGAACGGTGAGGGGGAGGGCTGGGCAGGACATGCAGGCAGCTCTGGGTGGCCAACAGCTCAGGGTGCAGGGGGAGGGCTGGGCAGGACATGCAGGCAGCTCTGGGTGGCCAACAGCTCAGGGTGCAGGGGCAGGGCTGGGCAGGACATGCAGGCAGCTCTGGGTGGCCAGGCACCTTCAGCTGCTGCCAGCACCACCGTGGTGACTGCACTGCTTGTGTCTCCCCAGTACTCCACCCACCTGCACCTGGCTGAGGACTGCATGAAGCACTACCAGGGCACGGTGGACAAGCTCTGCAGAGTTGAACAGGTACCAGCTCCCTCAGCCCCCCATCCTTCCCCCCCCAACACTCCCATAAGGACCACCAGGGCTGGCAACTCCCTCCCAACAGCTCAGCACTGAGCCGTGGGGTGATGAGCACCTGTGTTCTCTGCAGGACTTGGCCATGGGCACTGATGCTGAAGGTGAGAAGATCAAGGACCCCATGAGGGCCATCGTCCCCATCCTGCTGGATGGGAACGTCAGTACCTATGACAAGATCCGCATCATCTTGCTCTACATCTTCCTGAAGAACGGTGAGGGGGAGGGCTGGGCAGGACATGCAGGCAGCTCTGGGTGGCCAACAGCTCAGGGTGCAGGGGGAGGGCTGGGCAGGACATGCAGGCAGCTCTGGGTGGCCAACAGCTCAGGGTGCAGCCAAGATCAGCCAGGTAGGAAAGCTCAGCCCTGTCTCCCCAGCCACCAGCAAGGGGGTATCCTTAGGTGAGGATGCAGGGGCTATGTCCCCACCAGGAGGCTTTTCTCACGAGGGCACCATCCCCCCCGTTGTGTTTCCAGGGATCACTGAGGAGAACCTGAACAAGCTGATCCAGCACGCCCAGATCCCAGCCGAGGACAGCGAGATCATCACCAACATGGCCCACCTTGGGGTGCCCATCATCACAGACGTGAGTCTCCACCTCCCCCGCAGCCCTCCTTGGCCCGTGGGGGCACTGTGTACCCCCCGAGGTGCCCCCCAGACCCTCCTGGTCCCAGCCCCTGTGTCTCAGGGTGTCCTTCTGCCCTCCCTGCCCAGTCCACCCTGCGGCGCCGGAGCAAGCCGGAGCGGAAGGAGCGGATCAGTGAGCAGACCTACCAGCTCTCCCGGTGGACACCCGTGATTAAGGACATCATGGAGGTGAGACAGCAAGGGCAGGGACAGGGGACAGAACAGGGACTTGCAGGGAGTTGGGTGCTCCCAGCCCAAACCCTGCCATCTCTCCCTGGCGTGTGTCCTCCGGGCTGCTCACTGCCCGCGGGCAAAACAAGGTTGGGGTGTTTTCATAGGGTCACAGATTGGTTTGGGTTGGAAGGGACCTTAAAGATCACCCAGTCCCAACCCCCCTGCATGGGCAGGGACACCTCCCAGCAGCCCAGGCTGCTCCAAGCCCCATCCAACCTGCCCTTCAACACTGGCAGGGATGGGGCAGCCACAGCTTCCCTGGGCAACCTGGGCCAGGCTCTCACCACCCTCACAGGGAAGAATTTATTCCTAACACCCAATCTAAATCTCTCCTCTGCCAGTTTAAAGCCTTTCCCCCTTGTTTTATCACTCCCTGCCCTTGTCCCAAGTCCCTGTCCAGCTTTCCTGGAGCCCTTTCAGGTACTGGAAGGTGCTCTAAGGTCTCCCTGGAGCCTTCTCTTTCTTCCTAGAAGAACTGCTCCAGCCCTCTGAGCATCATCATGGCTGTCCTCTGGTTTTACTTCAAGATTGCCTTGTCCTTCCTGTGTTGGGGGCTCCAGAGGGTTTCCTGGCCCCCATGTGTGTGCTGACCCCAAGTGGGTTGCACAGCCCCAGCTGGGCTCACACAGCATCCCCACAGCACAGAACCCACCCATGACCTGGCTCCTTCTTGTGCCACACTGTGTGCCATGGCTGGGTGGCCTGGTCACAGCATTGCCCATGTCCCAGCTGAACCAGGGGACAGACATGGTGTGTCACCTCTGCCTGCAGGCACAGCCCTGCCTGGCCCTGTGGGAGCTCCAGGCAGAGCCAGAAAGGAATTTTCTCCAGGCACTGCCTTCCTCCTGACCCCCTCCAACCAGAGCAGCCTCCTGGGGTTTGCCCAGAGCCAGAGGGGTGATCCAGGTGCTGAGGCTGCCCCCCCAGTTTGGACCATTCCCGCCAGCTCAGGCAGACCCTGCAGTCACATTCTGAGGAGGGGGATGTCACTGCAGGTCAGTGCCACCTCAATCAGGACCCTGGCTCCCCTGTAACACCAGTGCTTGCCTTCCTCTTCCATAGCCTGTTCAAGTCCTCCATGGGGGGCTTCATGTCTGGGGTACCCCAAAACCTGTCCTCAGGGCCAGCAGGGACTGCACAAGGCTGCAGCATCTCAGCAGTGTCTTCCAGGCAGCATCAGCCCTCCAGCACTGATCACCCTGAGAGCAAGGGCAGGTCCCTGAGCTTCCTAGAAGAAGATCCTGCCCTGGACCCCACTTTACCCTCCCTCCACAGACCCCCCCAGGCTGAGGGGAAACCTCACCCCGTGTTGCAGCCCCCCTGCACTCTTCCTCCCCCCAAGCACACCCTAGTACAGGAGCACAGCCCAATTGTTCCAAAACGTAAGGAGAAGTTAAGATTCAGTTGCAAATCTGCAAATGAATCCTGACCCAGCTGTGCCAATCCCCCCAGTCGCAGCCCCAGGAGGGGTTCTGGGGCTGGGGGCTGTGCCTGGCTCCTCACTGACCCCCCTGGGGCTCTCTGCTCACAGGATGCCATCGATGACAAGCTGGACACCAAGCACTACCCGTACATCTCCACCCGCTCCTCCGCCTCCTTCAGCACCACTGCCGTCAGGTGGGTCCCCCTCCCCTGGACATCAGCACCTGTAGCATCCATCCTCCATCCCTCCATCCCTCCATCCTTGTATCCCTCCATCCCTCCCTCCATCCCTCTTTTCCTCCATCCTTCCCTCCATCACTCCATCCTTCCATCCCTCCCTCCATCCTTCCATCCATCCACCCCTCCTTCCCTCCATCCACCCATCCCTCCATTCATCCATCCACCCATCCTTCCATCCATCCATCCATCCATCCATCCATCCATCCATCCATCCATCCATCCATCCATCCATCCATCCATCCATCCACCCATCCTTCCATCCATCCATCCATCCCTCCTTCCCTCTATCCACCCATCCATCCATCCATCTACCCATCCATCCATCCATCCATCCATCCATCCATCCATCCATCCATCCATCCATCCCTCCAACCCCTAAGGGGCTGTCCCATCAGCAGGTCCCTGAGCTGCTCTGCTGTCATTTGTCACAGAATCCCAGAATGGTTTGAGTTAAAAGACACCTTCAAGATCATCTCATTCCAACCCCCCTGCATGGGCAGGGACACCTCCCAGCAGCCCAGGCTGCTCCAAGCCCCATCCAACCTGCCCTTCAACACTGCCAGGGATGGGGCAGCCACAGCTTCCCTGGGCAACCTGGGCCAGGCTCTCACCACCCTCACAGGGAAGGATTTCATCCTCATGTCCCACCTAAACCTCCTCTTCCAGTGTAAGGCCATCCAGGCATCCCGTGCCTCAGTTTCCCTACCTGTCGCAGCAAGCAGTGTTCACGCCTGGAAAACTGGACTTTCCCTGCACCAATTTGGAATTAATGTGGGATTTAGTTAAGGTGTGAAGACACAGTTTGTTCCTGCCCATGCTTCATCCCTCTCCTCTTACTCCAGTGCCCGCTACGGCCACTGGCACAAGAACAAGGCCCCCGGTGAGTACCGAAGCGGCCCCCGCCTCATCATCTTCATCCTGGGAGGGGTCAGCATGAACGAGATGCGCTGCGCCTACGAGGTGACACAAGCCAGTGGCAAGTGGGAAGTGCTAATAGGTGAGTTGGGGACCCCTGGGAGGTGAGTTGGGGACCCCACACCCCCTGCTCTGGCTGCTCGTCCCACCCTCCCTCTGCCATCCCGCGAATCCCAGGTGGTTGCAGGAGGAGGAGCTCTATGGAAAGGTCTTCTCCTGCCACCTGCTGCCACACCTGTGTCTCCCCTCCCCAGGAAGCAACTTGCAACCCTCTCCACCCATCCCCAGGTTTTCCTCTCCCTGTCTGATTTGATTCCAGCTGAGCAGGGTGAGAGGGAATTGGGGTTGAGTTGCTCCCATTGCCCTCGTGTTGCACACTCGGCCTTGGGGTTGTGACAGGAAGAGAAAAACAAAACAAAGGGGTGTGCAACAGCCCACACCAGCCACGTGTGCCCTGTGTGTGCAGTAGAAGGTCCATTTACCTGTTGCACACCTGCTGCAAGTCCTGTTGCACACGCATTGCAACAGGACGTGTGTTGTGTGCTGGGTCTCATCGCTCTGGCTGTGCTTCCAGAGGAGCCACTGAGCATTGAGGACATGGTGGAAGCTCTTCCAGATGTTGGCAAGGAGCTTCTAGGTCCCCTAAAGTCCCCCCCAGGGAAGAACAGCTGGATACACACCTTGTTGGGCAGGAGCCCTACACCATCTCATCTAGTCCTTGGCTTCTCACTAGCAGAATCTTCTTCTCACCTCCTGCACCCACCAGCTGTGTCCTTCCTCCCCCCCACACCAGACCCAGCACCACCTCCCAGCTCCATCCCACCTCTCACCTGTCTCAGCTCTTGTCTCTCCATCCCCTTTGCACATGCCTCCGACGTTCCTGGTTGTGCAGCCACATCCTTCCTCCCCCCAAATAAAAACCAGGGGGTTGGGGGGGGGGGGGGGGTGGGGGGGGTCTTGGCGCAGTCGTGAGCCCCGCTCTGTTCTCCTGCAGGTTCTACTCACATTCTCACTCCCACCAAATTTCTCATGGACCTGAGGCACCCCGACTTCAGGGACTCCACTAGGGTATCATTTGAGGATCAGGCTCCAGCAATGGAGTGAGCCAGAGACACCAAGTAAAGGCAGCTCACTAACGAACAAGAAACTCTTCCACCCCGAAGGGTTTTCTTTGGTTCTTCCATTCCTCCTTCTCTTGAATTCTTCTTTTGGGTTTCGTTTCCATTTGGTTCTCCGACAAGAAAATGCTTGCAGTTCCTCCTTCCAGGTGGAAAAGCATCCAGTGCCTCTCCATCATCCCTCTGCCATGTCTCTGGGCCAGACCTGGCCGGCTCCTTCATGCCATGAGTTCCCCCTCCCCGGGTACAGGGACGGCAGGTCGGGGGCATCCCAGGCAGAGGCATCCCAGGAGCAGAGAGGGGATGGAACACCCCAAGATGCTCCCTGTGGCTGGAGTGGGGCCAGGGATTGGGTGCCAGGGGTTGTTCCAGCTCTTACTCCTCTTATCCCCCATGGCCAAGGTGGTTCTGTGACCCTCCAGCTCCAGGGTGAGATGGGGCTGGAGCCCCGAGTCGGTGGCAAAGCTCAGGTTTGCTCTTGGTGCCCTCGGCGTTGCAGACCCCCCCAAGCCCTGTGCCAAGGTTTGGCTGCTGGTGGTTTTGCTGGTGAGACCCCCTGTGGCTTCCCCCTGAGCCACTGCTGCCATGAGCTGGTCCTTGCACAGCCAGGGAAGCTGCTGAGGTGACACAGCAGGACCTGCCACCAGCACCGAGCCGGGAACTGCCGAGCGAGGGGCAGCAGGAGCCCAGAGCCTTTTCCTTCCTCCCTTCACCCAAGGATGCTCCATGTGGAAAAGAGCCTTGTGGGGACCTGCAGAAGGTCCCTCCCTGCCTGCACCTCCCACCCCGTGCACCCCAATGGCTTTTCAGGTCCTGGAGTGTCCCCACCAGCCACCACCCCACTGCATGGCCACCTCCGGGCTCCTGCTTCATCCTGGACCAGTTCCTTCCATCTCCTTCATGTCTTCTGTCCTGTCCCTTTCCCCCTCCCCCCTCCCCACCACCTCCCCCCACAGCCCTACATCCTCTAGCAAGCATTTCCACCAGCCTGGGGCCATCACCAGAAGGTCCCACCTCAACGGGGTGGGACCGGGGACAGCGCGGGGAGGGCGATGGGGGAACAGGGACACAGCAGGGCATCCTGAAACCATCACTGATGTGTGTCCCCCACCACCACCGTTCCCTTTCCTCTGCCCCCTGCAGGGTCCACACACATCCTCACCCCACAGAAACTGCTGGACACGCTGAAGAAGCTCAACAAGACAGAGGAGGAGACCAGCAGTTAAGAGGAAACGTCGCCCCCCGACTCGATGCCGAATCCCCCCCCTATTCCCAGCCCTGGCCCAGCTTTCTTGTGTTGAACCCCCTCCTGCCACCTTCCCCCCCCTCCCCTCCATCTCATTTTATCCACAGGGAGGGGACAACAGCCAAAAAAAAAAAAAAAAAGAGAAAAAAAAAGAAAGAAAAAAGAAGTCGTGATGTGTTTGTAGCTGCAGCTGTCAAAGCACCCAGGAGCTCATTGCTGAGTGACCCATCTGCCCATTGCTAGTGAATGATGATGATGGCGATGACAAAAACCAACACGCACACCAAAAAAACCAACAGCAAAACCCTTTTTTCCCCAAGTTTTGCTCCTCCCTGGGGTCCCCTGTGGATGGACGGATGGACGGACGGACACGCCGCCCTTGGCTCAACTCCCTGCTCAGCCTGGGCTCAGCTCCTGGCCAGGGGGGGGTCCTTGCTGCCCTCTCCTGTCCCTTGTGTTTTTGGGGTGGTGGGCGCTCCCGCCAGATGTGCATGCCAACATCTGGCCCAGGGGTTGGGGAGGGGGTGGGTGGTGAGCTCGGGGAGGGTTCACGCGATTCCCACGTGAAAAGGGG